TATATATTGCCCTTCAATTTTATCCTTCTGTTTAAACTTCTATTTGTCTCTATACTTGATTAATTTTATAAGAAAATTCTAAACTTTAATTTTATTCTAATTACTTATTAATCTTTTTACACTTTGTAAATAGCTTGTTATAAAAATTAAATTAGAGTTACAATGTTGAATTTTTTAAACTATTTATTTATTTTAAATCTTTCTTATTCATTTATTCTTGTCGTTGTAATTTGTTATTCTAAATATCAAAACATAATAGATAATTTAAATTCAAGAAAAATAATAAAAATATAAAATTTACGTGTAATATTAATAGTTTTGAGAAAGATACAGTGTAAAAATATAAATAAGAATAATGTTAATTGTTGCATTCAGTCTTATGCATAAAAAATAATTACTTGTATATTTTTAGTTTAAAATATAAAAAATAAATATCTATTTTTAAATATATTAGTTACTATTTTTTGTATGCTTTTGTTTATTGTGAAATTTATATTAATAATATACTTATTTATTGTTTATATAAATAAATATATTTGTTCATTTATTATATAAAATATTGATTAATCTTAAAGATATTTTTAAAATAAAATAGAAAATTATGATGTATAATTTATTTTTTATTAATATAAATTAAGAATTTATTTTATGATTATGGTTTGAAGATATTTTTTAAAAAATTTAGATATTAGTTAATTTTAAAAATCAATTTAATTTATTGAAAAAGATTGAATAAAATATTTGAAGTTAAAAATTTTAAGTAAACAAAAAAAATACAAATGCACGTAATTTTTAAAGTTAAAGTATTTTTAATTTTAAAAAAATTAAAACCACATATATTCTAAACTAGATAGACCAGAAATTAAGTTAAAAATAAATTATTATTCAGTTCTTTTTCACAACTTTCTCTTTATTTAAAAAAAAAAGAAGAAGAAGCCTAACAAAACGTAAAGTATCTTATTACTTTTATGTCACTTAACTTATCCATAAGAAAAATTCCATTATTGTATGTTGTGTATGCACTCTTGAACACACACATGTATATATATATTTGTCTCTGAGTATTTGTTCACTCACATTTAATACTCTGAATTTTTTGTATATAAAAAAACATAGCTTTAAGCCTTTAACTAAATCTTACACATTCAATAAAGAAAAATAGACAAGTCGATGTTCTAAAGCTTTCGAAATTCTAAATTTCAAATAATAAGCGTGTTTGTTTACTTATCCACATCACGAAAAATGTAGTTTTTTTAACGTTGATCAAATCATCTGTTAAACTTTATTCTAATGACAAATTGAACACACATTAAAATCTATAACGCCGATTAATTAATCGCAAAATAACATCATCGCCTCTGAATTAGATGAATATTAATTTCAAGTATTTCTAGTCACAAAGTCTACAATTAGGTATGGAAAATATTAGAAAACTGTGATAGAAAATTGTTCCAAGTAAAACTTTCCCAAATCAGTATAATGCTCAGTGATGATACATTTCATTATAATACTTGGCTTCATAGTCAAATCCACAGTAACAAATTTTTGGAGCCGAAAACTAGTTCATACGCAAATGGACAAAAGAAGGGGTTCCTTTACTTACCCGCCAACTCATACTAATAATATATATCCCATCTCTTACTACTTTGATCAAAATAAATCATTTCTCTTATCCATATCTCTTGTTCTGTCAAACATAGGCCGAATAATAAGACGACAGAAACACCGTATTCGTATCCAAACATGAAGAACCCCACGCTCTTACTGCTACCTGCACATGGTCTTGTCACATAATCAACCAAACCTCCAAAAAATATAATTAAATCATTTATTCTCACTTTTATTTTAAATATTTTTTAATAATAACAGTATTTTATATAAGTTTTTTAAAGAGTTACAGTAAGTACTACAAAAAAAAGAAAAAAACAATGCATGAGGATCCGCGAGGACCCACTGCACCAATGTTTTGCAAGTTATCTGTCATGGGTTGAATTTCAAATCTAATCCTAACATATATACTAAAAATTCATGAAACATGGGTGTATCGTTCAGGTGGAATGGAATTTGAGTTTAAAGCCTTCCACTCAAAGCATCAACAGGACAGATAGAGTTTATTAGTTTCTTGTCAAAGCAATTCATCAGCAGGCATGATCAAGCCGTGAAGCATGAACCTACATTTATTGTTCAAGAGCATCTTCCTCATGTCAATTATTTTATTTTATGTATATTTTTTATCTTTTGTTTACTGTGAAAATTGTAAATTGTAAACAAATAAATTCAAGAGTAATATGAAGATTGAATTTTAAATTTTTTTAAGTTATTTTAAGCGTGTTATTTACGTAACAATAAAATTAGAGTTGTAAATATTTACAGTGTATCAAACAAAAAGAAAATTGTATGAACAAAGATATAAAATAAAATACAGAAACATAAATATGCAAGAAAATAACGTATGACTCATAACAATAACAAACACCAATGACTGTGAGTTTTTTAGTAGTTAGTGTCTGGTGCAGTGCAGGTTTTCACAGTGTAAAGAGTCGTCTTCAGTGATGTAAAGTTTTGTAGTATTTATAAGCAAATGAACCATTCTTGATCTCCTTTTTTCGCGGCTACTTTTCAGCAACTCTTCCATACGTGCTTGCCTTCAACCGCTATTGCTTATCAGTTAGGGCTTCTTCGATAATTGTTATCGCGTACGATCTTTCTTTGTATTTTGAACCTTTCATTGATAATGATCGTTAATAAATGCTTTGAACCTTGTAACTCTGTCGATATCACTTTTTGAGTTCTATCATGTCTCTTGTGAACTTAAAATATTTTCTCTTTTAAGTTCCTATTTTTTAAGTAATTTCTGAAAAAAATTTGTGAGCTCATTTACTCTTGTGGACTTAAAATAATTTCTCCCTCAATTTCTACTTTTAATCACGTGAACTTAGAAGAATTTTTCTCTCAATTTTACTTTTTGACCAATTCTGGGAGAAATTTAAGAGTTTATTCAGTCTCGTGGACTTGAAATAATTTCTCTCTCAATTTCTATTTTTGACCAATTCTGAAAAAAATCTGAAAGCTCTTTAGTCTTGTAGACTTAGAATAATTTCCCTCAGTTTCTACTTTTCGACTAATTCTCGAAGAAATTTGAGAGCTCATTGATTCTTGTGGACTTGAATAATTTCTCCCTCAATCTCTACTTTTAGACCAATTCTGGAGAAATCTGAGAGTTCATTTAGTCTCTACTTTTTAACCAATTCTAGAAGAAATCTAAGAGTTTATTCAGTCTCGTTAACTTAGAATAGTTTCCTTATCAATTCTTGTTTTTTTAGTAATTCTGAGGAAAGTTCGGGATCTTACTTAATTTTGTGAACTTAGAATATTTTTCTTGTCAATTCTTGTTTTTTGACTAACTTCTGGGTGTTAAGGACTTGAAAATCCTCAAAAAATTTCTTGAAAGACCTTCAGTTTTGTGGATTTAGAATATTTTTTTTATCAATTTTATTTTTCAAACAGTTTTAGATGTCAGAGACTTGAAAATCTTCAAAAACTCATCAAAAGACCTTCAGTCTTATGGATTTAAAATATTTTTTTTGTCAGTCCTATTTTTTTAGTAATTTTGGGTGTTAGAAACTTAAAAATCTTCAAAAAACCTTCAATCTTGTAGACTTGAAATATTTTTTTGTCAATTTTATTTTGTGAGTAGTTTTGTGCGTCTTCATATTCTATGAGAACTGCTCGAAATGTGACACTCTTGAAAAAGCTCTACGTTTCTCCAAATCTCCTTAAAAGGTAGATTGTTCAATAAAATTTTAGGACTTATATTTATGCTATTGAACTTCGAGATGTATTTTTTTTTTAAAGAACATAATTTATTTTTTACCACGAAAATCTGGTCGGAAATTTTATAAGTTAGAAACATTTGCACCAAAAATTGAAATAGATATTTATTAAGAAAATAAAAAGTATTTATATTTGTTCATAATTAGTTACTAAGCACCATGCTGTTAATAAACATGTCTGGGTATAACATTAAGTTGAATTAATTCAGAAACATTGCAAGTGTAAGCAGTAAAGAAAAAATTGACGACATGGTGACTGCATATACGACCGAATTTCAACTGGAACGACAAATGAAACGAAAAAACGGTGTTGAGAAGGACACGTCGTATTCAGAGCTCAAACCTTATCCACTTATCCAGTTTTGGTTGTTCGCTATCTATGAACACCTGCCAGGCTGCCACTGGAGTTCTAAAGGGGAACTTTGCAGTACGCGCCCAAGCCCAAACATGAAGTGCCATGACCCAAGAATGGGCCCCTCCACTTTTGTTAACCTATGGGCTGAGAAATCAGTAGTATAACCATTCACGAGCAAGAGTGAAAATAGGTAAGATTATTTGCTAAGGGTTTATGACTTGGTTTATGTCGAATTTAAGTTAAATTAAATTTATTAAATAAGTTTTTTCATAACACTTAATTGAATTGGGTCTATTGGGGATGCTTTTCTTATTTTCGAAGCATTATACTTATACACACCTTATAGTACATATACCGTTTAAGTTCCTAATTGAGAGCGTTTGGAGCAATGACATCTAGAATAATTGCACGCGTCTTTGGGTGGAGAAGACTTTGTTTCCATTAAAGTTGCTGGCTTGAATTGCAATATAATGTCACAATACACAAACTAGGAAAGTGGCGTCACAAAATAACTTTTATAATAGTCTCACAGAACAATTCATTAAAGAGGACATTTCTCTTATCCATTTATAACCGATTGACTTATATGCTCAAGAGGCTCTTGCTTATCTCAAGGGCCATTTTGTTCTGCCCCTATCACTACTATCAATACTATCCTACTCTGGATTTCAGAGTTTGATTTGCAATATTCCCAAGGTAGACTTAGACCGCTGAGTTTTATTTATTTACGTTAAATTTTGACATACTAAGTACTGCTAACATCATACAAATATTCTTAATAAATAACAACTTATACATTTTTTTTTTCCATTAAATCTATCTATTATTACACAGACAGTTTGAGAAATTAATCGCAACACGCGACATAACTTGCTGTTTATATTCGGAATCTACAAGGAAAGATTTCGTGCATCCTTCTAATATTTCTTTTATCTCGTTCCTTGATTTTTTTTTAAACTAACAGGAGAGATTTTTTTTAAGTAAGAAAAATAATTCTTGCAATGAAGGATCTTTTCGCTTTATGTTTTGCATTCGTAATTCTTAATTTGTTTATCTAATGCTAACCTCCTTTTCAAATGGGATTAGGATATTTGTTTACTTTTCATTTCGTTAGTACCTTTTGTCTGAGGATTTAGACAAAACGAATGCTATTCAAGAACTGCATTCATATTTACAAATTCGAGCAATTTCTTATAAATATATACATGCCATTAAACATTATTTGTCAATCAGCAGTTTCTTTGAATGTGGTTTTTAGTTTTTGAAATTTTCATCTCGATATGTTTTTTACATAAACTTGGTACATATAATTGACCTTCATTTCGAATGTTATAATATTTTTTATTATACTTTTTTGGACAGAAAAGTTTATACCTTTTCATAAACTTAAATATTTTGTAATTTTTATTTAGAGTAAATTTTTTTTAAAAAAAGTTAAATTTCAACTTTAATTAATTGTTAAACTTTTATAGTATAATTTCATTTTCATCTGAACTAAATCATTTTATTTTAGAATCAATCTTTTCAGATTTTAAAATTTTTTATGTTTAAATAAAAAACAAATCATATCTTTATTTAAATTGGCAAAGTATTTGTTAATTTACATACAATAATAAATAAAATTTAATACAGAATCAAAAGATTTTATTTTTCATTTTTAAGTATCAGAGTAATTTTTTAATCTCAAGATGCAGAATGAATTATGTTTCTCAAAATTTAACTTTTGTTGACCACGCTATGATTTTCTTCTGATGAGGAGGTTAAGTCATTTTCTATCTCCATTCACATGCCAGATGTCTTATTCCACAATTCTATTTATTAACTGCACCACGGTAATCATCACTTCATCCATCCAGTTTCTGGCGTAGGAATGGGATACAGCTTTGAGGTATCTATCATCATAATTCATAGCTACTGATTCGATAAGCAATTATGGTGAGTCATTGCATGATGATAAATATTGTGTTCCACTCCAAACAAAGCCTTATCCTGTTATTTGACCCAAAACCGTTCTGCTCAATGCTCATGGTCCCACCTCTGATGTAGTCATGTCCCATATCCGCTCCCCACTTGCCACCAAAAATATTCCCTGCAAAACAAACACCAAAAATAATAATTTAATACAAGAGTGCAAAGATAAAATACAACAGCGAATAAATCATAACAATTTAAAAAAAAAAAAAATGCAATACGTACAGAATACGTATTTCACTAAGTGAAGAAATACAGAAAAATACGACAGTAAAAATAAATACAGAAAGAGTAACAAGCTACGGAAGAATAGACACGAAATTCACAGCTCAAACGACAAATGGGCTCCACATAAAAGTTTATGACTAACGTTACGCCACGATGTTGTGAAAAAAATAAATAAAAATATGCGATAAAAAAGAGGGAAAAAGAAGAAGAAGGGGTAAAGCACATAGAAAAGTGCCACTGAACTGAGAAATTGAACGATGAAGATATGACGTGAACCAAAATTTTTAATTTTAAGTGAGGATTAGTTAATTATTTATAATTTTTAATCAAAATCGGTTTTCATAAAATTAGGTCCAGAAGAAGCTCCAAGAATGGCCATCAATGGCTGCCACTGATTAATATATGTTCTATATTATATACACAGACACACAGAGACGAAGCACATCATCAGTCATCAAATTTCGCTTGGATTTCGGAATATCCAGCGCAGCCGTTAGATCTTAACCTACTTCGCCGGGATCTGGCGCCGCCGCTTTCGCCACCTCCACGGTGGTCGGAAACTGATCGGAAGAGTGAAACGATGAAGGTAACCAAAGCGCAGTTCACGAGTCCTCTGCCTTAGACATGACGGAGAGCCTGCTAGGCCTCGGGTGAAAGTCCCCTCTCCTTTTCTGCTGATGCGACGAAGGGCGAATCAAAGCGGCGAGAGCTCTCTTCACGAGATCTCCTTCCACGCCGCGAATTCTCACGAGCGAGTTCGTCATCGCCGATCTGCGAGCGTTGAGGCGGTTCGGCGAGTACGGCGCCGCAACGGCATGGGAACCGAAGGCCTTCTTGTGGAGGCTGCAGCGGAAGGAGCCAGGGTGCGTGGTAGGCGAGCACATGCACGTGCGCTTCTGCTGGTGGTGGTGGGGGTGGTTACTCTGTCTGGACCCGCCGGTTCGAGGAGTCACCGAAATGGACCGGTTCGGAGAAACGGAACGGTCCAGCGAGAACCGCACGGAGGATGTGGAGGAACCGCATAGGTTGACACGCGTGGGAGAGGTTGAGCGGTTAAAGAAGGTAGTGGAGCGAGAGGAGAAGCTGGAAGTGGAAGAGGCGAAAGCTGAGGAAGAAGACGAGGGGGAGTGAAAGTGAGAATTGCAGAATCTAGGGGAAGGCGAAAGGGATCGCAGTATTGGGGTTCTTGATTTTCTAGAAGCTGCCGCCATTTTTGTCTGAAGAGAAAGTTCTTCAAAAAATAAATTAAAAAAAAAGAAATTTTTTTCTCCCTTAAAGCCGGGTTCGGCTCTCTAGTTCGGCAAACCTAGCTTTACTCAAGCTATGTATATATAGGAATTTGGAGAACACTCGGGATATTTTCTGTTTAGGGTATTTACTTGGTGGAATTATACTAGTGGCCCCTCGATTCTTCTTTTTTTATTTGCGCGTCTCTTTTTAAACGCCTTCTTGTACAAGTTTTTCTTTTCTTTCTTTTTCACACACAATAATAATTATTGTTTCTGATGCTGAAAAGTTGAGAAACAAGTAAATTAAGTAATATGCATGTAATTGTTAGGAATGAGAAGGGTAGAGTGTGAATGGAGCTAAAAAAAAGGGTAGGAATGCAAAAAGAAAATTGAGATGGAGCGTGGAGAGCTTAACCAAAAGGGGAGATGGGGTTGGGTTAGTTAACCAGAAGAGAGGACGTTGAGCCCTCAGAATTGTTGATCCAACGGCTTTCACTTTCACAAAGCTGTGGGCTGCCCATTATAATAAAAACGACAAAATAGTATAGAACCGTTTTAATTCCACTGACACCTTTTTACGTTTCCATTCCTCAAACCCTCTCTCTTTCTGCCACGTACTGTTATCACTTAATCCACTCCCACTTTAACATCACCGAACTACCCTTCCTTCTTCAGCAATTTTTCTTTTATCCGGGAATGGCATTTATCATGCATCAACTCACAGCTTCTTAAAATCCTTCTACCAACATTTTTTCATCATAAATTAAAAATTATTAATAAACTTATAATTATGTGAATTTTATTTAATGAATAAATTTAATTCATGATTTTATATTTTTAATACAATATTAAAAAAATAAATGTTATTAACTTTTTCTCAATTATATTGTTCCTTCGTTAAACGTTCTTAAATGTTTTCGTTTTTCAGAAAATACTTTTCGAATAAAATAATGCTAAAGGACAAAAACAAATGAGAATTGTTACTTTTGTTTATTTTACTTTTTCTTTTTAAGATCTAGCCAATAAATATTTTAAGAAAAATAATTAAAATATTAAATATTTTTATTTATTGTTTCTAGTTATTTAAACGTTTTTGTAATGAGTGTTAAGAGTATATGTTAAAAAATAAAAAAAATATTATTAATATATTAATTTTAATAAGATTTTATTATTTTTATAAACATTTATTATACACATATTTTTATTGCATCTTTTTAAACTCAAATAAAAAATTACTATTTATAGGAATTCTTAATTAAGAGTATTGAAAACCAACGAGCGAGGAAATCATTCCACGTTCGAATAAAAGTTTATTTTGTTAATTATATAATTTTTTTATTTTTGTTAATTTATTATTTAATTTTCAAAAGTTTAAAGAATATTTTAGAGTATATTTGTTTTCATTTTTAAAAATAATTTTTTAAAAAGCAAAAAAGTAATTTAAGAGTATGTTTTATTAAAAAAACAGTTATCTTTTTCTTAAAATAAAATTTAGTATAATTTTGTGCTATAATTAATTTTTAAAAATAGAAAACTATTTTTAAAAAGGAAATTAAAGATACTCTTAATTTTTTTCATTTTATAATTTTTTCTTTCACTCTTTATACACTATTTTTATGAATTTTTAAAAAATTAAGTTGATATTTCCCCTTGTTTTACTTTTTATTAATTTTTCTTTAGCACCTTTGCATTGTGTTTTGCATGTCATTGCAATCATCGTTTCTTAATTTTTCAGTTTCTTTAAATGTTTCTGCTCATCTTCTTGTTATTTTAAATTTTTCTTAACCTCTGTTGATGTAGATTTAGCCATTATCTAGTTAAGGTATTATTTTGAGATATTATTCTAAATTAGACAAGTAATTAACTAGATTTTATCTCGAGATTATTTTGGTTTGATTTTATTAGATTCTTTTCGTCTTTGATTAGGAAAAGTTAGTCTAATATGTTATTTTTTAGATTTAGTTAAATTTGGTTAGTTTTAGATTATGATTGAAATATATTTCATTATATTTAGTCACCCATTATTTATTAATTTTTAAATATTAACTGTTAGGAATATGAAATTCAAAACTTTTAAAATAATTTGATGTAAAAAAATTGTAAGCTTGTTAACAAATTTTATGCAAATGACTTTTTTGAGTCTGAAAAATAATAAACATTTCAGCTAAGATATTATCATTCTGATATTTTTCTTTGGGATTTTGATTTAGAGAAAGCATCCAGCTTGCGAGCTTTATCAAGGACTAATTGAAAGTCATGAAAAATAGTGATATTTTCAATTATTTAATAAATATTGATATATCATGTATCAAATAGCATACATTTACAAATCATGCTTTTTAAAAAATATTGCACATATCTCATTTTTTAGTTAATTTTTTTTATTAAACACACTCATATGAATTATTTACAAGTTTTTAATTAAAAAAATCCATTTATATAAATAAGTTGAAAAATATATTTTTTGTGTTTCACAAGTTAAATTCAATCAAACATTTAATATTTAAAATTTAAATAATTAAAATATAACCCTGTTAATTTACACAAGACTATGCAAAACTGGGGAGTATCATTTGAAGAGAAAACTGAATTTTATTTATTTTTTTAAATTTAGGCCACACCATAAAACAGATTTCAGGAATGGATATATTCCCATAAATTTCACAAAATTATATCTCTTGCCTATTTGTCACAGATCACCTTAATCCAATCCTAATGCTATAATAATTAGCCAAATATACAAGTACCCTTTTTAGTTTGTATGTGTACTTGATTGTTATAATATTCAATTTTCAAAATATTACATTCTATCTTCAATTAATTAATCTTTATACAATAATATAATGTTACTTGTAGGGAACACAACTTTTTCGTTAAAGGATGAAAACGGATAAAGGAGAAGCAAATACTACTATAGATGGTACGTATATAGACATGCTAAATTACCATAAATCTATAACACTGTCTTGATGTTCTTTATGGAAAAAGTTTTATCATTTTTCACCTCTTCTATTAAATAAAAAAAGTTAATTATTTTCTATTTAGCTCTTATCTTGCAAGTTCTCCATTTTGAAATGAAATTATAAATTTTAATTCATTCGAATTTATTGTATTTGAACATTTTTATGGTAACAAAGGCTAGTAATATATTTTTATTTATTAACTAAAATCTGATATGTCAAATTTACTTTTTTTCATTTTGGCAAAGGCAAAGCCCCTCCAGTAAAGCAATGTTTGGATAAAGTAGTCTATAGACACATGGGTCATGGCCGGGGGAGTCTTATTTAATGAATGGGTTGAACACTTTGCAAATTGGGAAACGGAAAGTTGGAGTTAGCTTAGAGCGAAGAAAGGATCACATCAAGCCTAGCCAGTTGCATAATATGACACCGAAAGCTTCCTTCTATCCATATGGTACTTGTGCCCTCTCTTTCGGTCATTTTCCAAGATTCTCAATTCAAAATAAAAAATACTACAAAACAAGAACGACACGTAGTTCCCACGGGAGTGTGACTGTGTTGTGAATTATTACTCATTAAGGATTGCGGCCAAGTACTCATTTGGGTGCCTAGCTAGGCCTTGCCCTTCAGCAGTCGCATTATGCCATTATGAGCCATCCATAATCCATAATATAAAATTAGATAGATTTTTAGTTTTGAGTTTGACACAGTCCTCAAGCAAAACCTTATAAAATTGTGGTCTCCTTGCCCATAAACGTGTTTTACGTGGATATTTTCTGCTAGTATTGGAAATTATATGTATCCATTTTTCAATTTTTATTTGAAATGTGGAGTACAATGGCTGCTCCGTGATATATTTGATGTCTCCATTCACGAATGTACCATATGTCCAAATAAAAAAAGGAATCTCCAAGTCACGGTGCCGTGTGAATTACATGCTATATATGCATATGCATCTGAATTATCTTCCGTATTTTAATGTGCAAATCCAATAATACCAAGCTTCAATGTGCTCATTATGAAAAAGAATAAAAACTGGAGAAGCAAGAGATCGTGTGAATTATTTCTCTACCAATGGGCTCTTAACCAATGAAGAAATGGAAATCTATTTTGTAGTTATGAAGCAGCCTCCATTAGTTTGTAAGATAGCACGTCTTTAATTTGATTTTAGATAGATGTAAGAAAACAGTCAGAACCACTGGGAATTGGATAGGATCTAAAAGAAAACAAGTGTTAGTGTTTATCTTAAAATTAGTTAGCAATTCTACCAAGTCAATGCTTATTTTAATACGTTCAGCGTTACTATTATACGGCACGTATGTGTGTGCGTCTCTGGAAAATCTCCTTGTTCTAATCTTTAAATCATTATACACATTGGTGGAATCCACTTCAAATTGACCCCACCAAGCTTTAGCAAGTCAGTGTTGGTAGTGGGTCAATGTGACCGAGCATTTGTTTGACTGCAGTATTACAGTTCAACGAAAGGGTTTAACTTCTTATGTTTAAAATCTATTTCAGCTTAATTCAAGTGTTCACTACCTTTCTAATTCTATGGATGTAAGAATCAACTTCTCATCAATTTTTTGAACAAGCAAATTCCCTCTTAAGTTAGAAAGAAAATCCACATTATGCATATTGCTTGCCTAAGTAGGCGATGAGTGGTGAATGGTCGCTATTCCTAGGTTCTCTGCATCTTGTAAACACATGACTGTCCATTTTCAATATCAAACTAAAAGCCCAACCTTTACTGGCGTATTCGAACCAAATTAATCAAAACCATATCACCGAAACCCACCATATATAAATAAAGCATATTGTTGATTCCCAAAACAATTATATTTATGCGTCCTTTCTTGCTACGATCTATATATGTACGAGTCTTGTGGCTAAACAAAATATAATTTAACCCAACAGACACGGAGAATTTCACACAGTTCTCACCACCATATCAGGGAACATCACAGATGCACTATTCATCATTTGGATTGTTTAACTAACATTGTCGCATACGTTAAATTTAAATCTCAAGATAGATTACCATGGTTCATTAATTAACGAATCCAAAAAACGGGGAAGCGTTTCGATTTGTTTAAAAGCATATTTAAGTTGTTAC